CTAAACGCTCTATTATCACAGTTGAGGAATTGACAGAGATAGAACGTTTGGAGGATCTGGACACTTGTATGGTAAGAAACATTCCTCAGTCCATTTGGTTAAGCATGCAAATACCTAGCAGAAGAATGTTTTTCAAAATTTCATTTGGCAATTTCATGGTATCAGGAAACTGAAGTTAGGAATTGGCTTCTAGAAAAAATAAATGTTAGCTTATGAACATTTTGTCTGAGTTGCATATTGCTGTTCAGCAAAGAAAAAACTTTTCCCTTTTCTTCACTTCTCCTTTCCGGGTACCTATTCAAGGGCCTTTCTCTTGCATACATTGCTACAATCAAGCTAATCCAATAAATGTCCCTTCCACTGCCACAGTTTCACAGAGGTTCAGTTGCAGTAATAAATTGGACCACGCTATCCTTTGACAACATTCTGCTCTCTATCTTTGTCTTCGTTCTACTTGACATGGATTCCTCTGAGCCGTGACAAAAAATACTTCCGCCTGGAAGTTATATTATTGACCATGAACAGAAGTTGATTTTTTTTAAAATCAGCTCTTGAATGTATGGAAGAAGTCTTAAAACTTTGAGACTGGACTGCAAGTGATCCTAGAGGACAAGCTTTTCAAAAGTAAATCAGTTGGGTGTGTGATATTCAGTAAAAATGTTGAACATAAATCACTGAAGTCCCTTGTAAAATACCATGTGTGACTTTTATTTTAAAATGGCTCCATGCCATATCATGATTCTTTACAAGATGTATATCCACAGAATTACAAATAAATGGGTTGCCAACTGTTTTCAACCTCGAGTCCCCCTCCAACCACCTCAGTCTGACGAACTCTACTGTGGACAAGAACTTCAGGGAGGGCTTCTCTATTACAACTTAGTCTAATAGGTGGTCACTGCTGCAAGGGATGGGCTTTCTCCTCTGCCCTCCTACCTGGCTCTTTGGCCATGTGCTTTCAGAGGAAGCTAAACAGGCAGAAAAAATGATTTCATCTTTTTGTAGGAGAAGTTTTGTTGATTCAGCTCCCTGAATAGACTTTACTGCGGAGTCAGACCAGTACAGCTGAAGAGAAAGAGCCGCAGAGTTGCTCCTTTCTGCAGCAGCTGTCTGTTGGTCACACTTAGCTGTAAGACAAAAGTATGCCTTCCTTGGAAATATCAGCTTAAAATAGTTCTCTCACCCTTCCAAATCTCCTTCTTCACCAAGGTTTGATTTGATGCAATGTTTGTCTGAACATCACAAAGCCCTGTGGGGTGTGGGGTGTTGATGGCATCGTTTAGCTCATCACTGGTACTATCAAGTTCCAGAAGGTTTCTGTGGCCAACAGTCAGTAATCATTTTGAGCCTTAAATCCTATGGGGGAGAGACATCCCAGTAAAATATGTGCCATCTGAACGTTGTATCTGTATGTTAGTTTTTGCATGCTGTCTTCATATATAGAAAAATAAGCTAAATGCTCATTTTGACACTCCACCCTCCCCCTTTAAATTTATTCTCAAGCCTGTTAAGAATAATAATATTGGAAATTCAAAAAATAGCTCCTGTCTTTATCTCATATCACCATGGTTATATGAAAGGATCATATCTCTGTGCTGTTATCTTTCACTTTGGTCATATTAAAATAATGGAAATGTGATGGTGCTTACACTCTTTAAAAGATGCATTAGATGCTAACTGTACTTATCTTACAAAGTGTTTATATCTCTCATCATTCTCTTCATTCACCCTCATCTTGCACAGAGATTCAAATACCTTTGTGATCTAGATTCTCATCAATATCCAATTTCTGAAGAGAATGAAGCATCAAATAAACACAAGACAGTGATCTTCCACAGTGCTAAAGAATCCATTTATTAAAAACTGTAATCCGTTTTTAAGAGCTGCTTTTTGTATCCTGAGTGCAAATGATACGGGTTGCTGTTGTAAAAATAAATTGATAGATAGATAGCCCCAAGAGACTGAGTAATACAAGGATTTTTATTGAGCTACTAGTGTTCTTACTGAGTTTTTTGCAAGTAAAAGCATCTTAAGAATAGATTTTTTGCATCTTCTGGGTGGAGTTAGTAACTTCAAAGATAGTGCTTTCTAAGTGATGTATTTTAGCCATGGGAAATCCTACGGATTTCAGATATTGTATTGGAAAAATTAACCTGATTTGTGGCAGCTTTTAAGCGTTGTATAGATATTTGGATAGAAATGAGGAACCTTCTGAAAGGGGCATCAGTGAATGCTTTGTGAGCTGGTCAGTGCAGAAACAGATATGTTGCTAAAAGATTTTACTCGAAAGAGAAGCACGTGTTTTTATGAACTATAATTATGAACCTAATTTCCTTTGACTATTTTTAATCTTAAATGAGAAATAGCTATTTAGATCCCACTTAAAAAATGGCATTAGTCCAGAACACTGCCTTGTTTGGCCATTGGAAATCCCTAAATGTTATGAAGTGTGATGATTAAACAGATCTTAGTCCTGTGAGTAGAGGATGTACCTGGCTGTGTATTCTGCAAACCTCAAACCTTGAAACCTTGAATTGCAGCTTGGTGGTGTGCGTGTTTGGCAGCCTGATCTCCTGTTGCCAAAAGAATACAGCACATGGGGTGAGGCTGATCATGTTTCTGGGATGCCAGGAAAAACTCGCCCATTCTAAGCCCTGGCTATCAGTTTGCTCCAGCTACTTGTCAAGATGCCTGGGGAAGAAAAGATTTTGGTCTTATAGGAGAGGCACTGAGCTTGGACCGCTGTTTTGACAGAGCTCTTTTTTTTTTTTTCCATTTTCAAAACTAGATTCATTTTGCAAACCTGTTAATCTCCAGCAAGCCTTTGTTCTTGTTTTCTTCAGCAAGCCTATCGAGGATCAGGGTTTTGGCTGAGGCAATGTATACAACAGTGTGTTGTTATTCACCAGCCTTCCTTGAAGCTGTATTTGAATGATTTGGGGGAAAAACCGGATCCAGGTTCAGTTTTGACTCTATGGTTACAGGCAGATATCTAACACTGAAGCGAAGTGAATGACTATGAGTGAGGCATACGTATTTGTAATAAAATGCTTATGAGCTATTTGGTCTTATATGCCGATTGAAAGTGGAAGACAAGAATATTTGTTTGTAAAACTTGAACTGGCAGCATAGAGATCTGAAACCTCCAGTGCTGGTGGTAGAGCGGAGAGGCAGGCACTGGTGTGTTTCACAGCCTGCCCACTGACTCTCAAGCAGGGTACAGAGTGGCTGTGGCTGGGAGAATTTCCCTGCCAGAGTAGAGAGTTGCCATCCACCCACCTCGAAGTTTGATATGTGTAAACAACACAGACAAGACAAAATTAAGTATCACAAATGGGGCCATGAAATGCACCACTGCAAAATAGACTTTTAAATGTTATTTCTAATATTTTTTTTGTTGTGGGAATTAGGACTGGCTTAATACCAAGCTGTGCAGTTAAAGTTTATTAGCTTCAATTTAGGATACGATTCTCATCCAGCCTTTAACGGTGGCCTGAGAGCCCATAACATGAAAGATTTGTCAGTCATACCAGAATTTGCTAGTCTGTTAAATGAATTCTGAAGAACACTGGGAGTGATTGAATGGTCCAGTGTAGGACGTGATAGCTGCAACATTATGGACCTGAGAATTTCTGATATCCCTGAGCTGCAATATGGTAAATTGATGCTTCCCTAATCTACAGCTGTCTTAGTTGTCTATGTTTAATTAGAGCTACATTGATGGTAAGAAGTCATTACATAAAAGTTGCGTGCAAGTAAGATGGAAAGAAAAATCTTTATGCAGAAAATTACTTACCGTTCTCAGATTAAAGGAAAAACCATGGCCTGTTTTCCAGAGCTTAGACTCTGTCCTGGTTTGAGGGGAGCATCTGTTGTTTGTTCCAGTGGCCAGTCTGGCTCAGACCATGACAGACTCAATCATGAATTAACTTCATAAAATAGTAAGGTTTCTCTAAATTTCCCTGTGCATACTTGACAGGAGTGACACATTTTAAACTAATGCATGCATTTTAAAATTAACTTTAAAGCACTCTTTTTTACTGAGATTGAATACCGTATCTTGGTATGCGTAGTTGTGTAGTTAAGATACTATCTGATTTAATTTTGTGTAATGCTTCTAGTTGTACTTTATTTTTTCATAGCCATTAGTTCTTTGCAATAGTAAGACATACTAAATAGTGCTAAATTCCCCACCAAAAGGTAATGGAGCATCTTTGATAGATTGCGTTTAACAGTTATGTTCTAAAGCTTTTTTTTTCAGCTATTTGAATGTTAGTTTGGCTTCCAGAATACTAAAAGGAGATCACCAGAGTTGAGCCACTATTTAAAGAAAAGTTTTGAGAGAAATAGCTTTTTTTACTAGAAATCCATGTACTCATCTTTAAAATACCCATTTCAGGAATATAATTTTGTTACTATAGGTAGTAACAGGCATACAGCCAGGATAAGTATTGTTTTTAGAGCAAAGCAGAGGTTATTTGTGTTATGAAGAGGTATGGTAGGGAATTGTTTGAAACGTGTAGAGGAATTGTAGGTTGTAATACACAAGTCTGCTTCTAAATCTTTTTTAAAGCATTTTGGTGTAAGATTGAAATGCTTGGGTGGCAAATTATGTGTTTGCCAAGATGCTTGTAGCTAATAGAAAAGGACTGCCTGTGATGAATATTGAATCATAGCCATTTCTTATCTATTTCTAATTTTAACCATAGAGGTGCTTCTATGACTTTAATGGAGGAAAATAAAAATAAAATAATCCCATGAGCAATGTATTAATGTTTTAGTCTTTATTGAACAATAGATTTCACTTGTACAGTAGAGAAGAAAATTTGCAGGAGTAGCAGAACACTGGTAGATTGGTGATGTATTTTTTTTTCCTGGGAATGTACTAACTAGCTATTGTCAAAGGTTTAGCAGATTAGTGCAGTATCCAGGTGAAATCTTATGAACCTGTTGGTTCTGAAAGACAAGGAGTGCATGTACCTCAGCGTTTTCAGAAAAAAGGGTGAAATTGCACTCACCACACCAGAATTAATTTTTTTTTTTAAAAAAAGAAAACTCATAAAGCACCACC